CATTGATACTTACGTTAGCAGGTTTGGGGAGGCAGTTTTCATAATTGTCACCTTAGGGAAAATTTTAAAAGTACACTTAAAATTCTACTACATTGTATGTTTTGCAATCCTTGTGAGTTTGGATTATACTACATTCTGGGGCTTAATGATTGGTGCAGTTTTCACAGCTTTAGAGAACAAGAGGTAAGTTTCAGGCTGCACTTCACTCTGCCCTTGTTGTTTAGGACCTCCAAGAAATAGGGAACACTTCAAAGGCTTGTTAACCATCATGGCTTGTTAATCATCATAGACTGATGGATGTTGTTTCCAGAGCAACTGCAACAACTGTGTAACCTGTGTTCACTAATGCCACTATAATTTGCAACTGGAATAATTGGAAAATATCTTAATAGTGCAGGTTATATTCATTACCTTAATGACGAGCAATATTAATATTTTCAGTAGCAAAAGTATAGATTGCATAGACTTTGTAACTTGATTCAAGGACACATTATTCTTAGGAGTGGAGAGGAGTATATTTCTGTTAAAAAATAGAACAACTAAGGCCAAAGGAAGAAAACATGATGTGGAGGGGTGTTTGTGCTATTGTCTTCTGCTGTGTAAGACCTATGGCTTTTTTACTAGAGACCAAAGTTGGTATCTCTTCTTAAGATGTGACACTTTGTTTACTGATGACAAAAGTTATTAGTTTGTGGCCATTATTGCAATGAGATAAATGGCATTTTCAATACCAGGTATTTATTTTAAGATCAAATATGGCAAATTTCAGAATTCCTCACCAAATCTGTAACTCCACAGTTTGAAATTTAGAAATGTAACTGTGTTTAAGTCAGCAATATCACCCCACCCCCTAAAATTCTGAATGAAATCTCAAACCCTGAGAAATTGAAGTGGATTCTTCCATATAGTTAAATATCCATTTCCCGATCCCAAAAAAGAACAGGTAGGCCATCAATTAGAGTTAAGAGCTTATATGGTGAAAGATTGATGTTGAATAAGGTAGGATGTGAAACAAAAAATGTAATGGGCATAACGCACTACATGCTCTACCTTCTGTGGAAGCTTCTTCACAGAGGATAGCCTGTATGTTTCATTGTTTTGGGGACTTGTTTTCGCTTTTGTAACCTAAATCTGTGAAATGGCAATCACAGGAAAAACAGCCCTAGCATTTTTCATTTTAAGTGAAGAAGCTGGAAGACCGAATAACTAGAATTAAGTTTCTGGTACTGTCAACTTGTTGGTACGGTGCTTTATCTGTAACTGTCATGTGGCCAACTGTGGAACGTCTCCTAATGTTGCCCCTTCCTGCCCCCAGTGCAGAGGTTTCTTCCTGTCTGAGAAAGCCTTGCTGCTCAGACACAGGCTGTGAAGCCGATGTGCTCCCCCTCTCACTCCAGTGCGTCCTCCATGTGCTGTTCTAGTTCTGTGATGGTCCCTTCTAAAGCTCTCCCAGATTGCTGCTAGTCTAGAGTTATGTAAAGCTGTCTTCAAATCATATGTATCAAACTGCTGGCTTCTCCACTTTACGAATTACTCTTACCATATTATTGTTCTGGAGCTTCCTTTTCCCAAACAGGAATGCCTCCCATTTATAAATGAGGTTCTTCATTCAGAGTAGCAAGTGTTTTAGTTTGCTGGCTTTGATATTTCAGGCTCATCACCTCCTTAGTGCATTTGTTGTCCTGTAACTACTAAAGTGATACCAGTTATTTTCTACTATTTGTCTCTGCAACATTAAGTACAGCTGAAGAGCAGATTGTAAGTGTTGAAGCAGCTGGACCATTGTAGAGATGAGAAATGTTTGTCCTTCATTGAGTGACTGTGATGATGGAAAATATTCAGTAAGTCACTGATGTTAACAGGATTTGTAAGCTTTGTGAAATGAGAATGTCAAGGGACAGCTTTAAATTCACCATTTTATCTATGCAATGCCCTTAGGTGATCATTCCCCCCACAGAAACTGACATGAATCATTTTTTTATCCACGTAAAGCTGATTCTCCTCTAAGCACCAACCCAGTACATGTACTCACCATGCTTGACATGGCAGGTCCTGGCGGATGGGTTCCACGTGAATCATATTCTCCCTGTGATGTTCCCTACCTGAAGGAATTATTTTCGATTTAAAAGGATGCTTCTTCCATTAGTGGATTCTGCCATGGTGATAAAAACATGGCCTGATAGAGCCATAAGGTGGGCTGGCTGTTTAAAGCTGGAGTCTTATGCATGCAGGCGAGACTTTTTGTAACCCTGCTTGAAATTTGAGATTTATCAGCAGGAGTTAAATATTTATCTCTGCTCGTCCTGACATCTTGTTCACAAACTTTTCAGTTAAGGAACATGTGATTGGAAATTTATGTTAGGAAAAAGTCAGCAATAACCTCCTGTCTAGGAATTGTACAGCTCAGTAAGTTCACTGATACTCAGCCTACCTCTTATCTGTTATCTGTGCTTGCTAGAGACATTATTCATCTGTAGACTGTTCCCTTGTTTCTGCTTCTCCATTTCTTGTATTTTTTCTTTTCTTCTTGTGTTTCCTTTCTTTCTCACTCTTACGCTTTTTGTCCTTTGCTTGTCTTTTATTTCATCCCTTTTCCTCTGTTCCGTTCCACTTCCAACTTCCTTTTCCTCTCCTGCCTCTTCCTCTTCCTCGTTTGGTCCTATTGAAGTTGAGCCCAATGGCGGGACACCACGTCGTAGACCTCTCTCCTTCTGCCCTTGCTGTGCCCACGAAGGTAATGTAACCTCACATGCTCCCTCTTCTCCTTGACCACAGCTGGGTTGTCACAGCAGCACCAGTCAGCTAGTGACCACAGGGCCCCCAGCCTTTTCTTACTGTTTCCCCAAGCCATCCTTCTCAGTAGCAACCTGGTAACCAGCTTTGTGGGCCTATGACAAGTTACTAAAGGTACAGTATCCCTTTTGCTAGTCCCAGCTGTGCTGTGGCGGGCGTGGTGGAGCGGTGGAGGGAGCAGTAACATCACACTCAAAACTTTGTTTGCATTTGATGGCTTTGATTTCTCCATTCCTCCTGAGAGGTGTTTGGAAGGTGGGGTAAGGGAAGAAAATTTGCTTCTTTAAATTGCCTTTTAATTAATTTACATGGATTAAAGGAATACTGTGTCTTTTTAAAGGACTGATTTGCAAAACATCCGTGAACATTAAAAGTAAATAAACCTTAAGTTAGACTAGTTTTCCCTCATCCGTCTTGCTGAGTGAGTTCTTTAACTGTCTCAAATGGAGTTTGCCATAGAGTTTCCATTGCCAAGGCATGGGGGAAGGGGGCTGTTTGTGTGTTCATGGTGTAATTTTGCTAACCACTTACTTTGCTTTCCATGGTGCTCCCTCATATCAGTTGTCAGTGCTCTCTCTTCAGTCCTACCACTCTTCCTCTGCTCATTGGCTGTTTAAAAATACTTAATATGTTCCATAGGTCAGTAGTGCTGTGTTTTTGGCTTTTTCTTAGAGGCATTTGTTTTCTGTACGTCCTGGCATTGGAAGGGACAGGGAGACTTCCCAGTGCTTTCATGTGCCACTGCACTGAACATCTGCATGTACCGTCTCCCTCTCCTGCTGCCACATGGGCATATTGTGCAGAGATGCTCAGAAAGGAATGCTTGGAAATGAGCAACACACTGATATCAAGCCCAGAAAGCTGAACACTCTTAGGGCTGTACAGCTGGGTCTGGTATTTCCCAAGGGTCTACTCTGTCAATTTTTCAAAAGCAGATGTTCTCAGACTGAGTTGCAGTTCAATGGAATTGTAGACCTGTTTTTACTTTGCTCCAGTGCAGCAATTCTCTGAGATCAGAAGGATGAAGTCAGGTCATATACCTGACCATTAATAGTCATGAATGTCATATTCGTGTAGTCTTTCCTAGAGTTTAAATAGCAAGCTTGCTGCATGATTATGTTTGGAATCAAAATGACTAATTAATAGGTGTTGGTCTTGGTGTAGATAGCATGTAGCCTTAATAACAAACTTAGGGCTGTTAGCTACTTCAGAATGCCTACCATACATGGCAGGAAATGCTGTAGGGCTCAGGAAATGCTGTAGGACTCACTTTGAGGCCTTACTCTGGCCTCTGTTTCTGTGCAGGTAGGTGAGTTGCCAAGGTTCTTGATGGCGTTGGGTAAGAGTCAAGGCACTCATCTGCAGATAATTCAGTGTGAATTCAGTGGCCCAAAACAAGGGACTGCCAAGAGGAGCTTTCCTGGTAAGCTCTTATGTTTGGTAAAAATCTACAAAAGGCTTTGGGAACAGAATTCTGCAGTTTATCCTAGGTAACTTCTGACAGATCAGTGTTCTATTGCATCGATTTATGAATTGGTTTAAAAAATACCAACTGAAAAATACCATGACCCAAGATTTTTTGCTTCCACTTTCACATTAGCAAATGTGTCTGGGGGTTCTCTCTTTGTTTCTGGTGCGGATGTGCAATACAGCAGAAGTAGTTTCTGTGCTTACTGTGCACAGGGGATCGTCAGGGTGGATAGATGCATGTGGCTAGGAGGAGCAGTCACAAACACTCATTTAGCTATTGAAAAAAGATGTTACTTTCTATCAGTAAAATAAACGATTGAGGATGTGCAATTGAAGTAAATAAGATGTAGAGTGGCAATTGAATCTATTTCTGATGAGCATACACTTAAGTAGCTGGCATGAGGAACTATAAAGCTCTTCTAATGAAAGGAAAAGTGAAGTAAAGAAGTGTGGGCTTTCTGCAGTTAAATGTGAGGAAGAAACAAGCAATCACAAGAAAATCAGAAAGCAAAAAATAATAATAAAAATCAGACTCCAAAGACAAGAGAATCCTTTTGGAGATGACTTCCACTCTTTTGTGTGCTCTAGGCAAACTGAATGGACCCGGCTTGGGAGTGCTCTGGCAGCATCTTGCTTGGCTTTCTTTGCACATTTTGCCCCATTGTTGTTTTTGCCATTTGGGCTTGTAACGATTGTGTGGCATTTTGCCTCAATCTTACCAAGTTTCTTCTTTGCAGGCATGGGAAAGAAGGATGATCCCAAGCTGATGCAAGAATGGTTCAAGCTGGTGCAGGAGAAGAATGCCTTGGTTCGCTATGAGTCCGAACTGATGATCTTGTAAGTCAGTGTGCAAACTTCAAAAGAGGGATTATTTTATAAATAGCAGTGGAAGATTTGTCAGTACTGTCTTCCCTGCCTGAAGGTCAGCAGTCTTATTGCTTAGTTTGATTCTTGGCTGAAATAGGGATCAGACTTTCAGAAGAGTACAAGAACTATTTGCACGTGTGCAGTAAGGATATTTGTTCAGTTCTCAGTCCTTTCCAAGCTGTTGTTGGATAAAACACAGCACATTACTGAGTGACGAAGAAATAACGAATGGCTTCTAAGTGTAGCCAAACTGCTTAATTCTGTTACCTTTGTCATATGGCATACCTCTTCTCTGCCTGTAGTGGGACTCCAGTGCTTCTCATTTGGGCTCACGTGACAGATTTTTTTCCTGTAAAAAATCTGTGAGCTTTCTTAGTTCCCATGGTGCAAATTCACTGGAATTAGTTTCTGAGTACAGCAGCTGACCTGAGCAGTGTGGAAGCTTGGTGTCTTTTGGTGCCTTTGTCAGAAAAGCCCGAAGATGTTGTCTGCATTGGAATCTGAAATGGCAACGGCCTGACATGACCTTAGTTGTTAAGTAATTTGTCTTTAGAGTGGCAACTAGCAGATAACGTTGAGGTAAGATATGATTTTACAGCAATTGCAGCTTTGCTTCTTCCCAGTGTTTCACACTCTTTCAGATTTAATCTTTAAAAATCTAGTTCTATACATTAGGTGTCTTTGAAGTTGTTCTAAAATAGATTGATAAAATGCATAGCAGATATCTAGAGGGGGACACAAATTGAGTATGGATATGGAACAATTGTGCAGAGTATTTGAATACATCCAGAACTTGAACTCTTGGTGTGTTTCCCTTCCAGCGCTCGGGAGCTAGAACTGGAAGACAGGCAGAGTCGATTACAACAGGAACTCCGGGAGAGGATGGCGGTGGAAGGTGAGAGCAGTAAAGATTACCTCATAGTTTGTATGCATATTTCTGGTCTTGTGTGTGCTAACAGTTTTTGATATCTCTGTAGATCATCTGAAGACAGACGAGGAGCTCTCAGAGGAGAAGAGGATCCTGAATGAGATGCTAGAAGTAGTAGAGCAGAGAGATTCTCTCGTGGCTCTCCTTGAGGAGCAACGGCTTCGAGAAAAAGAGGAAGACAAGGACCTGGAGGCAGTCATGCTCTCCAAAGGATTTAGCTTGAACTGGTCCTGAGCTCGATACATTTACCTCTGCTGGTTTGTGTTCTCCAGTTGGCTTACCCTGAGTTCGCCAGAATTACATGGATAGGAAGATGTTGAAGGGGAAATCTCCGAAGGGTCCGACAGCATGCAGTGATTCGGTTTGAAGCACTCAGAAGCCTTTTGATAAGTGTGTTGGTTCCAGAAGCTTAAGTTTTACATGTCTGCAAGCCATGTTGAAGATAATGAGTTGAGTCTGTGGAGTCTCCTTGAAGTTCAGTACAATTGACTGTATTTTATTTTTTGTTTGGTAGCAGGGAGAGGAATAATCCATGTGTGGGGAAGGAGGTTAAGGGAAGAAGCACCTTAACTAACCTGGATTTATGGCGGTCCATTCCTTTCCCATTTTTACTACAACAGTCCTAATAAAAGGGAGGGAAGTAACAACCCTCTCTGGAAAACCACAGCAGCCTGTAGCAACCTGTTTGGTGGAGTCAGCTATTCAGGAGAGCTCCAGAAGCCCAGGGCAGCACCTTCTTTGCTTTAGTCTTCCTCCCCACCAAAGAAACTTACAGTTGGTTATTATGCATGGATATGAAGAAATATGAAACAGAGAAGATACTACTAGTTATGCGTGATGGAACTCTCTGCCTCACGGTTTATAAAGAGATTTGGGCATCAGAAGACTTACTCCCTATCACAGTCTCCTAAGTCTTTGTTGTTGGGGAAAAAGGGGAGAAGAAGAGACGGAAGATGCCCTTCTGCTTTGCTACACACTGGAGAGACAGCTGCTGCTGGCCTTTATCTTCTTGGCCACAGCTCAGAGGCTGATGGGCTTCTTCGTTCTGTTTTTATTGCGACTGTTTTGACACTGGAAAAACTGACTGTGGGACAGTGTTGAGTGTGCGCTGGGGCAGGGGTGTTACCAAGCAGCATTCCCTGGCTGTTCAGCTCCTAAAAGGGAGAAGCCCTTAAGTGACTGAAACCACCATTAAGACTTTTCAGTGTTTTTATTTTTTCCTCTATATTTTGTTTTTGCACATTGGAAACGAAGCTTAAGACCTGCCTGGGCCCTCAGTCACTTTGACCCTTTTATGTCGATTAACTTATTTTTTTAATACTTGAAAGAAAATTCATTTTTGTATCTTTTAGGAAAAAAAAAAAAAAATGGATGAGTGATAGGTGTGTGTGCCTGCTGCATCCTACAACTTCCACTTCTAAATTACTGGACGTTGTTACCTGTGGCTATTTATTAGTGTTCTTATAATAATTTTAATGTTACACATATTCAAGGGGGGATGGGGGAGTGTTTTAACTCTATCAGAGGAAGACACTACTGCGGATTAGTCCCTCTTACAGAGCAAGGGCAGTCTTTATGGACCCCACGGACGCATCCTGCCCTAGCAAGATTTCCTTTATGATAAAATCCTGCACACTTGTGGAGTTGTAAGAATCTATTTTGTGTTCCTACCATACTTTTCTTCTGCATCCCAAAAATCCCTCTGTTGGACTAATAAACCTATAATTTATTTAAATTTAAATTTTTTATAATGAGAAAGCCAAAAATGTAAGGCAGAAATATCCCATATGTCCCTTTCTCACTGAAAGAGGGGACCTTCACACTCCTGAGATAGAGGGACAACAAAACAAAAATAGCACATTTCCTGCTGCTTCCTGTTGGAAGAAGCTCCTTTTGGCTCAGCTGGTGAAGCTGCTGCTTTTAAGCTAGGAGGGTACTCACTATAATTGTATGTTAAGTAATGCGCAGGTCATGCACTTAGCAATTCAGCACCATCCACTGTTTTACAGATTCAGGAGCATGCTGCATCCTTAACTTGTTGCACAGAGCTGAAATGGCACTGTGTGTTGGGTCTGTGTCCCATCCTTAACGTAATGTGTTAAGAAGTTGTTTTTAATTCACTTTTGTTTTTCCCCTTGAGTTACTGCCTATTTTCTTTTCATGTGAAGGAAGTACTAAGCCTGCTCTCCAGTGTCTTTGGAAAGGTGTTCCTTTCCCAAGCATATTTATACAGCATGATGGCTCTTTCAGCTTGAACGCACGCTGTTGGTGCAAGATGCCCAAGCAGGGCTGAACATCCTTTAATTCTTTGTTCTAGGATAAATGGTTTCATGCTGTTGACTCTCTGCCTCCTTCAAAGAGGCCAGCAATCTATAACGTGAGGTCACCTCTGATGGATGAACATATCTCATGCTGAGGAAGAATGGGTAGGATGGTCTCCAAGGTCTGTGAGCAGGGCTGATTGCTAACTACAGAAACTTGTTTTTTATACTTCAGGAGTTTCCTCTTTTCCCCTCCTTACCATTGTCATTTAAGGCATTACAAATTAAACACATGCTGTGAAACAAAGCAGGTAGGCAGCTTCAGTGCTACTTAGTAACTATGCATGTTAGAAAGTCATACCCCTATGCCACGCTCACTGGTCAAAATTCTTGAGGAGTGTTGGCCTACTAACAGGATTCAGTTAGCAGATACTCCCTATTTGCCAGTGCAGAGGCCAGCTGTAGGACTCAAACTGGTAATGGTAGTAGGTTACATAGTCTGCATGAGGGGCCAGTGGAACCTGCAGAGGAGAAAAGAAAGAGACAACCTCAGTAGTTTACAGTAAACTGTCCTGCACACAGAGAGAATAGGCCTCAGTCCCTTTTGTAGTGTATATGGACCATATTTAATTTTTAACAAAAGATCGCTGAATGTGAGCTGTATAAAGAAGACATACCAGGTTAGTACCTATCCCTTCTCATGCTGGGGGACATGGGCCAGATTTTTTCACTGCCTGAGTCATATCACTTGAGGGTGTAATGCCCTGCTGCAGGGGAGAAATGCATATCCTAATCCTAAAACTCTCTGAGTTGTGCTGAAGTCCTCCAGCACTTAGAATGAAAGTGGAGACCTAACATCGCACACACAAATTAATTGAAAGTACATGAAAGGAAATCTTAAAAGGCCTTTTTATATCAAATGGTTTTAAAAGGCACAACTTGTATTTGCTGTTCAGTTGCACTTTAAGAATATAACTTACATACCAGATACTGGGTTTTTTTACTGTCTGAATATTTTTAATTCAAACTTTGTATTTTTAAAGCTAAAGAAGGCTCTTGTGACCACAAGATCCCTTATTTGTATGAGAATCCAAGTAGGATGTTCTAGCTCCTAGTGCTATCCAGGTGCGAAGCAGCACTTGTCTCAGCCATGTGTATTCAATGACGTGTGTCCGTCATGCACATGAAGGAAGTGCAAGGCCCTCAGCTTCTGAGAATTAGGCATGCAAAGGTATCTGCCTGTATGCCCCTATGTGACATTCCCCATACCAGGGGCTGGCTCCTTCCTCCGTGTCGTGGGAGGAGCACAGAGCTCAGAACCTAACCCACCTTTGTTTCCAAATGGGCACACTGAGGATGTGGCAAGCACTTCAGTCCCCTAAGGGGAAAGGAGGAGGTGATATCACCTCCTGGAAACACCCAGGAAGCAAGTAGGGATGGGGGAGTGAAGACTGCCAAAACACCCAATCTGCTGTTTTCACAGTACAAATACATTATTTTTTTTTTTCAACTGTTCTGTTCCTTTTACCGTCTTTTCATTTAAGCTCACAAATGGCTGTAAAATCCTGAGCTTCAGAGAACTATGCATGGGGAGATGACAAGAGCATCTTTCAGCTCCAACTTCCAGACATGCTCCTTTTTTTTCTTTCAGCTAACCAAAACCCCATGGTCTCGCTAGGGCATGATACAAACTGCGTCGCTGAACATATTTTCAAGCAAACTACAAGTTTTAAAAGTCTGTGCTATTCTCTGTCTCTGCATTTTATGTAAATATTTGTTTGTATGTAAAGACACCAGTGGATCCATGGGTTACCCCTGCGGTCAAGAACCTGAGTTTGTGCAATGCCTAGGCCTCTGTTAGAACACGGTGCTTGCATAGAGCTAGTCACCACATTTGTGTGCACTCTGGTGGTTTTTAATATTTTTATACATCCTAATCCTGAACATTATGAAGTATTATAAGTGGTCTAGACTGCATGATCTAGAGCAGCCAGCATTTCTATTTTCTTAGCAGCTGTTCCTAAAATTTTCACAGCTACACCTTGTTTGGTTAATATTCTTTTAAAATGAGTTTTCAATTAAATGTTTACACCGAGCGCCAGCGGACTAGGAAGGTGTTGCATTATAAAATCTCCTGAGTACAAACTGAAAAGCCACAATATGGCTGTATTGGAATTTAAATCATCATTGTCTGCAATAAAGAGAACTCTAAAGCATACTAATAACTAGCTTGTACATAGTTGGTGGAGAGAGGTTGCCTGCTCTTGACTGTTGCAAAGTAACAGAGATTAGAAGCTTTCCAAAAGCCTCTACTTTTGGATTGCTCGCAGGACTGCTATGACAGGGTAGCAGGCAGATGAGGATGTCACTGAAAGTAGGTGTGGAGGATGCCAAGTTCTGATGGCATTGCAGTAATTTAAATATTCTCTGTATCTGTGCGTGCATGCGTGCGTGTGTGTGAAGTCTGTTCCAGGTGAAGGGATTTGCCTTGGCATCTTCCCTTTTGAATGAGAGTGAACTCTGATATTCAGATTGTTCAAGGCTTTTATGGTTGGCATGTATGGAGTGTTAACAGAAAAGCGTATATACCCTACTTGTTAAAAAAAAAACAACAAAAAACACCAAAACTGTTCCAGCCTCTTTTCTGTTTGGTTGTTTTATCATTTGTTTTTATGCACACTTGCTTCGTTGGTGTTGAGATTTTAGCACCTCAGATGGCCAACTGAACTAAAAGAAAAAAAAGAAAAAAAAAAATAAAGTCATTAATTATTTTTTCTTTTTGTTCGTGGAGTTACCGTTTGTTTCCCATGCATCCACTCCCACAGCTGATGAGGAAGCCAGGAACTGGAGGAAGGTGATTTTGAGGTAAAAGGCCGGGTGTTCCAGGGCTCCACTTCAGGTGTTTTGGTTTTTTTTTTTTTTTTT